GGCGCAGCAGTAGAAGCCTTCACTCGCAGCTTGAGGCCAAGGCAGGAGGGCTAGGCTACACAGTGAAACCCCACAAAGAGGTGGGGAGACTGCTAGAGCAAACAGTCACTTCAAGAAACGTCCGCGTTTGCCGTCTCCACCTCTCTGCACACTCCTCCCTTCTGTTTTTGTGTTTTGCTCTTTTCAAGACAAGGTCTCACTAGATAGCCCTGGCTGTCCTGAACTCACTCTGTAGACCAGGCTGACCTTGAACTCAGAGATCCACCTGCCTCTGCCTCCGGAGGGCTGGGACTAAGGGCGTGCTCCAGTACTGAGCTGCCTTTCCTTCTTGAACTCACTTTAATCAGGCCTGTGTCCCCAGTAACACACTGTTAATAACCCAGATGTTAATGGGCAAAGCACTAGCCCTGTCTGCTCGCTCGGCTGCTAAACACTTGACAGGCTTGGTCGGTCACTCGTCCACTCAATGTGACCCGTTCCTGTAGCTTTACATACATATACACCTCAAGTGGAAGTCTACCTCGGACTCTCTCTTACGCTGCAGACTCATGTCCAGTGGCCTGCTCAACCACTCCAAACGGACGGACAGCTACTTTAACGCAACGTGGCCCAAACGGAAGAAGCCTTGAGCTGGACATAATCACTCATGCCTTTAACCATAGCATTCAGGAGGGTGGATTCCTGAGTTCCAGGCATGCTTGGGGACACAGAAAGAGATTCTGCCACAAAGAACAGAACTGCACATGTGATTCAAAGACCTAGGCATGTACCACCCACAGCAGCAGCCTTCCCCTTCTTTGGCCACTAACAATTCCACCATGCAAGTGGCCGAGGACAGTCAGCGTTTCTCAACTCCTCTCCGAGGTCCCATACAGGTCCACTGCGCTGATTTATAACTTAACCCAGCTCAGTCCCTTTCGTCATTTCGTGGCTAGAAGATAACTCAATAGTAAAATGCTTGCCTGGCATATGAGGCCCTGAGTTCAAACTACAGAAAAAAAACGGCTGTGAGCATGCATCTGTCTGTCTGTCTGTCTGTCTGTCTGTCTGTCTCTCTCTCTCTCTCTCTCTCTCTCTCTCTCTCACACACACACACACACACACACACACAC